GGGGGGGCTTCCAAACACGTACCCTCGGAGGCCTGGAAGGAGCAGGGAGATGGGCTTAGGTGGTGGGGAAGGGGCTAAACCAGGCCTGCCTGCCTCAGGAGGGTGAAGCAAAGCCCAAAAGTGACCTCTGGTGCCCATTTGTCCCCACCCCCAGGGGAAGGAGCAAGGGACAAAGACCTGTGCCGAGGTCCCCGTCTGGGTTGAGGTCTCCACTGCTGTCCAGGTAGTTGCTGTGCAGGATCAGCATGGGGTCCTTGTCCTCCTGCAGCTGGGTCTGCGGGTCCCCCATGGTCCCCTGGAAAGAGATCTTGCGGGGCAGGGCCAGGCACAGCTCCTTCCAGAAGTCTGATGAGGGGGTCTGCATGGGGCAAGGAGGAGATGAGCTGCATTGGAACCACCACAAAGCCAAGCCCGTCCCTGCACGGGGCTGGGGGAGGCTCCCATGGGGCTCAGCTCTCTTCTCAGCACTGGGAGCTCAGCCAAGGTGAGGGCTGTGCTCCTGGTGTGGCAGCGTGCCCAGTGCCAGTGGAGAAACCAGCTCGACCTGCTCAAATGCTGCCAAGGGCTTTGTCTCCCAGCCTGGCCCTGGAATGGCCACAGCAGCCAGGGGCCAAAGCTGAGCTCCAAGAGCTGAGGCTGGGGGAGAGCCCAGAGCAGCCATGGGCTCCTGATGGCCCAAGTCTGGAGACTGAGCACCCACAGCTGGGGCTCTTTCTGTTGCTTTTATTTTAACCTCCTCTAAGGGACAAGCGCCCCAACTTGCTTTTTTAGGAGCACTGAGGCACAGAGAGCAGCCCTGGAGCATCACAGAGAAGCTGATACAAAGCAGGAGCTGGGGGTGGGAAGGGGGTGCCAGCAGGACAGGATCCTGCTCGGCTCTCACCATGGAGCCCGCTCGCCACACCAGCAGGGTGATGATGTTCCGGTGCTGCTTCAGCAGGCTGATGGCTGGGTGGGTGATCTCCCGGTACTGGCTCTCAAAGATGATGAAGATGGGTTTCTTGGAAAGCTCCAGCAGCCTCCAGAGCCCTTCCCTGCGAGACAGGCGTGTGGCAGGAGGGCAAAGGCCCTGCAGGCCCCCCTCCCCAGCACAAGGACCTGCTCCTACCTGAAGCTGCTGTTGCACCATTCTTGCTCCAGGTAGGCGATGGAGAGGACCACGATCAGCCGCCGGCACCGGCTCACGTTCATGATCAGGTCGGCCGAGGGCTCTGCAGGCAAAGGGATCTCGAGCCCCCAGGTGCTGGTGTCGCCCCCCTGCCCAGCCCCACGGGGGGCTGGTGCCTACCTGAGTTGGGCAGGATGTTTTGCTCATCCAGGAAGAGCTTTTAGCCGTAGCGGTTCTCCAGCTGCGGCTTCACGATGAAGTGGACAAACTTTCGGTCGTCTGGGGCAGGGGCGTGGGAGACGTAGGCATCGTAGAGCTTCCCATCTGGGGAGAGCCATGGGAAGGGGAGCTAACACGAGGGAGGGCTCTGCCCGCTGGTGAGCCCCTGGCCTGGGGGCACCACCTCCATGCCCTTCCCCAGCAGCTCACCGTTGATCTCCAGCTCTCCGTAGCGGTTCCGGTACCAGAGGAGCAGGCTGAGGCGGCACCGGATGTAGAGCCCAGCCAGGAGCACCAGGAGCAGCAGGACCAGGAGGGAGGCCAGCACCACGAGCACATGCCCTGCTGCCTCTGCGAGGACAGGGGATGGCACGGTGAGTGTGGCTGGTGGCCCCAAGCCCAGCTCTTCTAGGGGTGGTGTAGGTTTGTGCTGCGATACGCTGCCCTGGGAGAGGCAGCTGTGGTCCCCCCCCCCATAAGCAGGTCCCCCTCGGAGGTGTCCCTTCTCCATCCCGCCGTGTCCCTACCCACTCGCCGCAGGGTGAAGGTGGCCGTGGCATTGCTGACCCAGCAGGAGAACACCCCAAAGTCGGTGTCGTGCGTGAGGTTGAGCTGCAGCACGGTGGCAAGGAGCTGCTCCGAGCCATTCTGGGCAAACCTGGGGGGAGATGGAGCCACTGTGGGTTGGGAGCCACCGTGGCAGGGAGAGATAC